AAAGGAGCCCCTCAGCCTCAGGCTCACCTCTCCTGTCCTCTCTTGCAGGCTCTGTGGCCTCCTCTGCGCTGACTCAGCCCCCTGCCCTGTCTGTGGCCCTGGGAGAGACAGTCAGCATCACCTGCCAGGGAGGAGACTTAGAAAGCAATTATGCTAACTGGTACCAGCAGAAGCCAAACCAGCGCCCTGCACTGTTCATCTATTATGATGATGAACAGGCCTCAGGGGTCCCTGATCGATTCTCCGGCTCCAGCTCAGGTGGGACGGCCACCCTGACCATCACTGGGGCCCAGGCTGAGGACGAGGCTGACTATTTCTGTCAGTCAGCATACAGTGGCACAGTGACACAGGCAGATGGGGAAGTGAGACACAAACTCCTTCCTAGTCTGGGTCTCACTCTCCCTGCAGACCCAGGAGGACCGGGGACATAGCAGGGTGGTCCCATGTCACCTGGAGCTGAGCCCCCCTATGTTGTCCTTTCCCCTCAGCCCTCCAGGTGGAATCTGCAGAGGGTGCGTGGGAAGTGCACTCAGGGCTGCAGGACCAGACTGCCCTGGAAATTAGGGTCTGTTGTTTGAGATGCAGAGAAATAACTTGAGTGCAAGGACAGACACGAGGACACATCTGTCCTTATTGATCTGGGATTTCTGTTATGGTCACTGGGCCTTTCTTTGGTCCAAATATCCAGGACTAATACCTAGCTCTGTCCAGCTGGCTGAAGTCCTGATAGAGCAGCACCTTGGCATGATGGGTTTCTCATTGAGCAAACCTGTGCTGTGGGCCCTATGGGATTTGCCTGGCCCCACTACAGGGCTGACCCACCCACCTCTGCTGGGAGCTGTCTGCATCCCAGAGCTGGACCCCTTCCTTGTGTTTGAGCCTCTACCCACAGAGGTCTGGTTTGATGACAGCCTTAGGTCAATATCCCAGGCCCTGCCTCTACTTAGGGCTACCTGGGAGACCCTCAGCTTCAGGCCTTGGGGACAGGTCCATGGGACACCCTCCTGGAAGCCCAGTCCTTCTCTGTCCAGCAGGGAGTCACCCACAGACATAGAAGGAAGAAGACATTTGCATGAGCAGCCCCTCCCTCCCTCAAGATAAGAGAGGCTTCCATCCCTTTCTGCAGGGAAGGCTGGGGGAGACCTGCCTCTCATGTCTAAGCAAGGCTTGGCTGAGAAGAGCTGCAGGCAAGGCCACAGCTGTGAGCTCAAGGTTTCAACTGTGTTTGTTGTACTGGTTTGTGCTTTCAATCTCTCTGCCATGGGCTTTACTGTCGTTACAGTACCCCGGTACCCCGTAAGGGTAAAATAACACCCTCAGCCTTACTGTAACTTTTACGATAAAACCAACTAATAATCCTGAAAGAATGCGGACCCCTAAGGCAGTGGCGAACAGGAATTATTTCCGTGAGACTCACCCCACCTACCTGCAAACTATCAATAAAGAATGCTGCATTCACTTCTCCTACTGGGGATTACATAGATAGCATTAGAAAGGTTTGGGTTAATAGAAAGCTACTAAATTGGTGAAACGACCTCAGTAGCTGGGAGAGGCTCAGGGGCTCACCCGCAAGGTACTGATACCCCAAACAAAGACCATGAGTCACCTTTGATCTCAGGACAAGGAAAAATTGCCGCTCCCCTGAGCCACAGCCATTGTATAGAACAGCACGTAGAGGGTCCCAGGTACACAATAACCTTTAGGTCAGTCATTAAGTTGCTTACAAGACCACATTCCTTTCCCACATGGGCAATAGACTCATCCCCTTAGTTGTAATATAG